TGTAATAACCCCGTGCTCAAAAATTTAACAACATTTTTTTAAGTAATTAATTTTTTTCTCAGCCAAATAACGTCAGTAAGCCGAAAAAACTTCAGGACATATACTTCGAAGTATCCTCTACAAACTGCGAACGCTAGAGAAAAATCTAAATGGGGGGACCCCCCTTAAGAATTTCTATTTTATATATGTTAACTGTGTCTGTTATATGCAATTATGAAAGAAAGAAAATTACTCTGTATTTATTTCCAGCTCACTCTCTAACTGAGCCCGCAATGAACAAGATAGCTTGTTTGCATCATGTTCCCGAAGAAAAAACCGGGTAAAACATGGTGAAACTAGCATGTTAACTGCATTTGACCCTACTGAGGTCATATTACATCATGTTCTTGAAGAAAAGTCCGAGTAAAACATAATGTAAAGTAGTCTGAGAAAAAGTTACTGAACCTTTGCAAGCCCCGGGATGAACGCTTGTCGTTTAATTGAGACTTTCTTCAAGAAAACTTTACAGTTCTCATTGCTTCACATTTTTGAAGAACTGCGGTAATCAAATTATTGCCTTAATCGCATGATGTTTTATCCGGTTTTCTCTTCGGGAACATGTATAGTATCGTTTCTGGATCAAAATCAATTTATTCCTTTTAATTCGCGCAGTTTTATGGCTTAAACCAGTTCAAATCTCACTTTTTAAAATTTGAATAACGTTCGGTAACTACAACTGCCATTATCACCTTTCAATTTTTGGTGTTACCTCGAACAATAAGCTATCACCAAAATGTGGTGATAGGATTTGGTGATGACTTATCTTCACCAAAGATGCCATTCTCAAAAATGAAATCGAATATTTTATTATTGGTCGCCATAACTGCGTTCAAAGCGACCGTAGGCTCTTTCTTTCGAAAAAAACGTCTCAAAATGGTTCTTTTTAAGAGAACAATGTAGAAAAATAAAAGTCTCGTTAAAATATATGATTACTGAACATCTGAGCTCGTCGAGCGATACCTCCAATCACTATCATCTACTGTAGCTAAGGAAGTCATATGTTGTATTAGTCAGTCAACTGACTATTCTATAGAACAGCTATTTCTACTGTGCGAAGACGAAAAAGTCAAATTTTCTCGTGTTTAGGATGAGCTTTGGTAAAATTTTGCCTTTTATTCAAGAAAAACACGTTTAAAGCGAACCTATGATATACGAAAAGCAAGCCGACACTCAGGAATACCAAGACATATTTTATTTCACTTTCATGTATGTCACTGCATAGTGTGTACCCAGGCGGACTGTAGATGAAAAAATAAAAATCGACTTTTAAACGATTCAGATAGTGAACAATATACTTCAAGATATGCTCTGCCTGATGGCACAAAAGTTTTGTTAAAATGTTCACGGAGTATGGGAAAACAGCTACGCAAAAATTAGCCTGTAATAAAATAAAGTTTACCGAAAAAATGAAGACTCTGGTAACTAAATGGGCTGTAAATTATGGATCCCCACAGCATTTAGTATATAAAAAGTAAAAAAGTCGTAGGGTGCATTGGAGATTGTTGAGAAAAAAATAAAACCTTTCCCTAAGTAATTTTCTAAACGGCTACTTTTAGTAAAATGAGCGCCCTCTCCACATCTCAAGCCGAAACCCGTTCAAACTTTCACTGAATGTTCTTCTATATGTCCTCCACCTATCGTGAATGTGCAAAACTGTGCAAATGTTTCTAAAGCTCACAGCAGCTTTTCTAAAGATACTGGGTTTTTCGAGATTTTTTCCATTTTTCTCAGCCCAGAAATGTTTTTAATCAATGAAAAATGACATACCCTCGCCCGCTCCATAACAGTAGACCATCTGATCTTTTATTTTGTCCCGCAAGTCGAGTTCTAAAGGGTGGTCTTCTATTATGGAGGGCGGGGAGTATTCAGAGTCAGTGCAGGAAACTGCATTGAATGATGTGCAATTAGTAGGTTTTTCTGAGCAAAAACTTGTTGGATCTAATGAACATTAAAGTCAAAGTATAGAGTCACAATTTTTACTAGGGATTTTGATATTTGCTATAGAAGCAGTCCGAAAGTCTATAAACATTTTTTTTTATAGCTGTTCAAATATTCTCTTTCCTATGGTTCGCTTTATAAAATTCTAGAATACTTATGTATAGGTTTTCTAGAAACCCGGTCTGTAAAGAATCCGGCTGAAAGTCTCTTTGAATTTTATAAAGCACACCATTGTAAAAAGCGTATCTGAAAACCTATAAAAAAGTGTTTATAGATTTTCCGACTGCTTCTATAGAAAATGTCCGTCTAGCCTATGGAAAAATGCACACTGTGTACTTCTATTAATTACTTGATACAGAGGTTTGAAAATCATTCATGATTTCAGAAAAAAGGATTGAAAAATCAAAATTTTAAGTTTATTTCATTTGTTTTTCAATTCAATTCAAAATTTTAAGAAATTGCCGAGACTGTAGTTATTAGGGCAACAAAATCAAAATTCTACACGACAGATACATAGGACATGTCAAAGTTGTTGTTTTTTCTTGAATGGGCTGTTGTATGTATTTATCGTTTTTAGACAGTTATGTACGTTTATCAGATAAGAATCAAGCAGGAGAGAAAATGGCAACCTTGACAGATCTTCCTATAACTCGAATAAAAAACGTGCGGTTTGTTACTGAAAAAGTTTGATTCTTGTTTGTGTCTATAAAGCGAGAAGTATATGATCTATGAATCGGTTTATTTTCTTACCATTTAACGTTGAATCACTACCTTGTGGATAATCGTTTAAATCAACTTCACCAAAAATTTTCCACATACCCCAATCAATAACATGTCGTATAATTACCCATGACCATAAGTCGGTACCATCATTCAATAGAGTAAAATTTCTAGACTCCCACGTAGATGATGAACTATTTTTATCGATAATCCAGTGAACTTGTTCATTTGTTGTTATCAATGAATAAGCCGTAACAGAATAAGCAAATAAGAATATTAAGATAAAACAGATAAAAAAGAATAAATCTTTCATCTAAAAATACATTAAGTATAAAAATATTTTGTAAATAATCGTATTTTTTTTATTCAATTTACCGTTTTTAATATCATCAATAGTTTAGGTCCAAGACGTTCGGATGCGGCAAATAAATGTAATATTCTCACATACCATATGAATAAATCCAAACACATAAATATTCTAAAGACAAAAAAAAAGTGGGAGAATATATTTCACATTTGATAATTCTAAAGTATATTGTACTTTGATAGAGTAAATGCTCTCTGAGAAACAATAAATCGAGAAATAAAACCAATAAGATAGAATATAATTCCAATAAAATCCAAAAAATTCCATCTATCATTTAGAAAATAATTTTTTATAATAGACATAATATTATGAGCTAATTGTTCTTTACAATGATGGGTAAACTGAAAAAAAAATAAATAGATAAAGCTGTACAAAATATATTTTATTAAGGGGGGGGGGGGGGGGGGGGGGGGGGGGGGGGGGGGGGGGGGGGGGGGGGGGGGGGGGGGGGGGGGGGGGGGGGGGGGGGGGGGGGGGGGGGGGGGGGGGGGGGGGGGGGGGGGGGGGGG